GGGGCAGGGGATGCACCGCCACGTGGCGCCGCCAGAATCGTGAAACTCCCTCCCCTGCGGCCGTCACGTGTCCGTGAATCCGCGTGTCCGCGCAAACACGTCTGCGGGCTTCGTGGACTGGCCGCGGCCGCGGACTTGGACGAGCCTGTCCGCCGCCAGGGGGGATTCATAGCCGGTAAGTAGGCCCCGGCGTCGAAGGCTCCATCTATTGGTGGGGAGCTACACCTGTTGGAAATCGGGTTCGCGTCCCTGTACAATGATGAGAATGTATCTGTTGGAAATCGGGTCCAGCGTCCCTATACAATGATGTGCATGCATCTGCTGGAGAGCGGATCCAGCGTCCCTTTTCAAAGATATGTTGATATCAGCAGCTGCCTATGTATGCACGTTAAGCAACTAGGTCAACTAATGTAAGGCCCTATCCATGTAATCTACAAGATGTCCAAAACCAAATGAGGCATCGAGCCCAATCTTATCTATCAGACAGAGCCCTAACTTCGATGTGATATGAGTTAGCTAGGAATCGGGTCAAGCATCCCCGTACAGTGAACTGTAACCCTATCCACCCATTGTCTATGTTGTTCTGTATATCTAGGTCTATCTGTATTTTTGTATTTGATTCATCAATCAAAACATGCCCCATGGCGAGCAGGGCATCATGCCCAATTCTGTTGATCACACCAGAAGTCGAAACCCTAATTCTGATGTGATCGTGTGTAAGCTGGAAATCGAGTCCAGCATCCCTATACAGCAGTGCGTGAATCCAATCAACTCACCTCTATCGCGGAAACTAGCAGAGACATTGATTTCTTCCTTACACAGGGGAAGAATCACCCTCCTGTTGATAAAACATTTATCCCGTATTCAATGGTGTGTGGAGATGATAGCATGTAAGAGATGTAGCTCACCCCACCCTGAATCAAAAATTAAAAACGTGAAATCAAAAGGTAATCATCAAACCCCTCATGAAGCCACGTGAATGCGAGTTAAGGGCATGAGAGTTGAAAGCCAATCATCCATTAATCAACTAGGGGGAGAGCATATATCCTTCTCCTAGCCGGTGCCAAAAAAGAACAAACAAAGAATGAAACACCGGGCAGGAATGGGGGGGAGCGGTAGTTTTGACCTTCAACCTAAAATCCGACCTCGCCCGACCAACCAAGCTACTAGTTCTTGCCTACTTTCTTGATGTTGTGGCAACCTTCAACCACAAAACCCACATCTTGTTGTTGTTGTTGTTGTTGTATCTGTTGTTGATATTGGCGATGTTGATAGTGTTGTTGTTGCCGTCGTTGTTGATGTTGTTGTCATCCCTCGCGCTCTTGCCACCCATTTCGCCCAATCCCATAAGGCACAAACCCTCCTTTGCGAGCCCTAGCAAGGTCCTAATTCCCTCCCCTTTTGTTGTTGGCAGCGTCTCTCCCTTGATGCAGACAGGGCGTTTGGAGGCACAATAACCCTTCTCTACCCTGCTGCTCCCGTAGATTTCATCGCCGCCATCATTGTGATTGTTGTTGTAATTGTTGTTGTTGTTGTTGTTGATATTGCAGTCGTTATTGCTGTTATCGTCACCGTTGTAGATTTTGTTGTCATGTTCCACACCCTCCTTGCCCATTACACCCATACCCTGCTCGCCATCACTGTTGCTGTTGTTGCCGCCGTCATTGTTGTTGTTGTTGTTGTTGTTGACAGCCTTCCCACCCTTCACACCGATCTCGCTCATCACCAACCTCTTCTCCATCACTGCCTCACCCATTACACCCACCCCCTGCTCGCCATCATTGTCGTTGTTGTTGCCGCCGACGTCATTGTTGTTATTGTTGTTGTTATTGCTGTTGACAGCCTCCCCACCCTTCACACCGATCTCGCCCATCACCTGCCTCTCCTCCATCACTGCCCCCACCTCTGCCATGATTCCCGTTTTGTTGTTGTTAGTGTTGTCAGCCTCCCCACCCTTGTCACCGATCTCACCCATTACCAGCCTCTCCTCCACCACAACCACCACCTCTCCACCAACGCTCTCATCAACGTTGTTGCTGTTAATATTGTTGTTGTTGTTGTTAATGTAGTTGCCAGCCTCCTTCTCACCAACCTTACCCTTTACCTGCCCCACATCCACGCCAACCACTGCCGCTGCCATGGACCCCTGCTCCTCGTCCCACACCCGATCCGTGTAAACCGCGCAAAGATTTGCGACGTGTTTAACCATATCCACCTCAGCTCGCCCATAATCCTGTCCATGCTAGCTACCTATAAAACCGACGACGTCTTCTCCATCCTGCTCATCCTCTCCGCTTCCCCCATCTTTGTAGACCGCGGTAAGGTGTGCAAAGTAGTTGACCAAATCGCCCTCATTTTGTCAGTCGACCTCTCGCTGGCAAACTTCATCATCCGTGCCAAAAGTCATATCGTCGTCATCATGAATGTCAAAGTTGTTGACGTCTTCTGCAACCTGCTCTGCGACCTGCTCATCCTCCCCACTCCCCCCTTCCACGTAGACTGCGCTAAGAAGTGCAAAGTAGTTGACCACATCCACCTCATCTTGCCCATCATCCGTGTCAAAAGTCACATCACCGCCATCATGAATCTGAAAGTTCTCGACGTTTTCTGCAACCTGCTCTGCAACCTGCTCATCCTCCCCACTCCCCCCTTCCACGTAGACTGCGCTAAGATGTGCAAAGTAGTTGACCACATCCACCTCATCGTGCCCATCATCTTCTCTGCGGTTGTCTGAGCCAGACGTCATTGTCCATGTCTAAAGGCATATCCCTATCGTGTATCTTCCCCACCAACCCCATCTCTAACCCGAAAAGTTGCGCCCCTATTCATGTCCTCGTCATTTCCAAAGTTGGCGCAACCCGTGTCCTCGCGTCGTCGGTCATTCACGACACCAACAGCGGATGCCACGTGGCTAATCAAAGAGCCACGGGCATCTGCCGAGTGCGCGCCACAGGCCCAGCAACCGGGGAGCTCCTCTCCTTGGGCGCTAGTCTAGCCGGGAGGACCGGGCCTCACCGGTCTGCAGGCATCATACCTCAGTGTCACCAGCACTCAGGACCCTCACCCTACCAGTATCGAGGGAAACTTGGACCAAACAGCAGTGACAAGCACCAAGGTTGGGCCAACCGCCCAGCCCTGATGGAAGCGGAACCGGACGAACCTCCCCACCGCAGGCCATGATCTGTCAAAAAGATGGTCGGCCGTCAGGTATCCAGTGCTTGTGCAGTTACACAAATGGAACCAGCCTCTCTCTCTCTCTCTCTCTCTCTCTCTCTCTCTCTCTCTCTCTCTCTCTCTCTCTCTCTCTCCCTCCCTTCTAAGTGATCCGAGGGGTGGAACGCCGGCTCCCCTCGTCCGGTTGCCGACCCCAAGAGGAAGGTGCGTGAAGAATTCCGTTTTTTTCGGACGGATGGACCCCCCGTTACCGAACGTTTGGGGGGGGCAATTTTGTGACGACTGCGGAGGATGGAGCGAGTTCAGGACGATTGCCCCCCCCTTGCCGAACACGGGGTCCGGTGTTCCGAAACCGTCGGACCCCGTATCGGATCCGCCGAACCCCCGCCGCCTCCCCCTTGTTTATCGAGCTAGGCGGTCCGACGTTCCGGACCGGCTGCGCCCCCCGCCCCCCTGCTTGACAGGGGGTCCGGCGGATCCAGAACACCGGACCCCCTTCGTCAACGAAGGGGGTCCGACTTTCCGGATCCGCCGGACCCCCTGTTAGGTACGGGGGTCCAGCGTTCCGGATCCGCCAGAACCCCAGTTCCGTATTGGTGGTCCAGCGGATTCGGAACGCCGGACCCCCTCGCTCAAGGGAAGGGGGTCCGGCGTTTCGGATCCGCCAGGACCTGTGTTCGGTAGCGGGGGTCCGGCAGATTCGGAAGGCCGGACCCCCTTCCCTCGAGCGAGGGGGTCCGACGTTCCGAATCCACCGGACCCTCATCGCCGTCTGAAGGGGCCGGTGACGGGGGTCCTGCGGACCGGAACACCAGACCCCCGTCGCCGAGCGGGGGGTCGGGCGGATTCAGAAAGCCCGACCCCCCTTTGTCGATAAAAGGGGGGTATGGCGTTCCAGAAACGCCCGACCCCCTCGCCCGAGGTGGAACGGTTGACCGACGGATTCGGAGCGGTGGACCCCGTCCGTCGAACGGAGGGGGGGGGTCGGTGGTCCGGATTCGCCCGACCGCCTTCGCCGTTGACCATGGGGGTCCGGCGTTTCAGGTCCGCGGGATACCCTCCATCGAACAAGGGGGTCCGGTGTTCTGGAGGTGGGTGGTGGGGGGTTCGGCGTCCCTTCTCATGTGTCTTTTTGTTTTGGATTCTTTTGTTATGTTATGTCCTCTCACAGGTTATTTCCATCTACGTTTACGACTCAATGGGAAGCGGGGTGGAGAGTTGTTACTACAGTTATCTGCCATTTGTGCAGTCTCTTCGCACACCAGTGCCCGATGCTACTGAGAACTCATGTTAGAGCCGGTCTCCTGATATAATCATCACACCATTGAAACATGGGGACGCTGCACACCGTGGTGATGGTATGCCCACACGCCGCACACGTCTTCGGTCCGTACCATCTTCCAATTTCAACCTCGTGCGGCGTCTTCGCCATGACGACATCATCAAAGATGTCGACTGCTTGCCTTCTACTGCCTGCACAGGCCCAACGCGCGGGTCTCCTGATCTATGTAACCGTTTGAACGGGCTGAACGCGCGTGCACGTTCAAACGCGCGTGTTCATACCCCTCGGGGCCGCGTTCAAACGCGCTGCGCGCCACGTGGCACGAAAAAATTGAACGCGGCCCCGGGGGGCGCGCGCGCGCGTCGCTGACTACAGGGTGGTGGGCCTCGTTCTAAGAACCCCAAAAGTGCAAAAAAAAAAAAGAAACAAGCACCGCCCCCCTACGACGTCACCCCCCACCATATGTGAAAAGTCCCTTTTTTTGGGGGGGAGGGTGGGAAAATCCCCCCAACACTGCTCACACGGCCCATGCAGGCTATCTGAAGGGCCCGCGCAGCACTAGAGTGCAGACCCTCCATCAAAATCGAGGCAGGCAGTGACTATGAAGTGGAGCACGAGCTGGCCGAATATATCCTCAAGATTCAAGTACAGGTCTGTGTCTCAACAGTTATGGGTTGCTCACCTAGCTAGGAGCAGGTGATTCTCGGGGCTTGGCTGCACTACTCACCAAATGTGCAAAACTAGAATGAATCTTCTTCAGAACATGGAATAATACGCAGCCATATGTTTCGTCTTTTGTGCATGTGGTGAGTAGAGGCCCTCAGGGCCACTGCACGTGTTCCTAAGAAAAGAAAAAGGGGAAAAAAAAGAAAAACGAAAAAAAAGAAAAACGAAAAAAAAAGAAAAACAAGAAAACGGAATATTAGGAATACGTGCAGAGGCCCTCACCCTGAGAATGAGGGCCTGGCTGCACTACTCTCGAAATGTGCAAAAGGAGAGTGAATCTTCTGCTAGAATATGGAAAGATACACCCCTATGATTTTTGTCTTTTGTGCATGTCGAGAGTAGTGCAGCGAGGCTCTGAGGCTTGGCTCTTCATTCCGAGTTGAGATGTGGAGGGATTCCCGGCCTCCTTCTGCTATTATAATGGAATGATGCTATTTCCGAAAAAAAAAAAAAAAAAAAAAACATTATTTTGACCAAACATTTTTGAATGTATCAGGACACACGCTATCATCCAGATACATATGGAATTCTGTGAAGTAGGGAGAGGGTCTCTGTCGGTTCGTTTGCAGTCTCCTGCGGCGATGCTCAGGGCGTAGTTGCACTACTGCCATCGGCAACACGTTGAGCCCATCTGGACTCAAATTTGTCCAGATACATTCAAAATGTTGGGCGATGGGGAGTAGCCCCTCTCTGTTAGACCACAGACGAGGTTCTGTTAGAGCTTCAGTGAACACGGTCTAGAGTACACAGTTGCGAGCCATAGCTTGGTTATTATATGGCTTTGTGTGCCAGCGACCCCGAAGAACTGAGGTGCTGAGTTTCGTTAACGGCTCCATGTGCTGTCTATTGAAGTTTTAGCGACGTCATTATGGATTTTGATTTGCATCACAGACTCTTTGTATAACCGCCATGAATCAGTCTAGATGCGTCCACACAAGGTCCTTTGCATAGATTAGCATACAACCCGGGCCCTACCGCTGCAAGTCTGTTCAGCTGGTTGTTGTTTGTGTAAATCATGACCGCTGCAAGTCTGTTCAGCTGGTTGTTGTTTGTGTAAATCCTCAATGTCGGCAAGCTATTTGCCAACTTCTGCCTCAGCTGGCCAAACATTGGAAATGAGCTATATTTCTCCCGTCTTTAAAAAAAAAAAAAAAAAAAAAAAAAAAAACAGACGAAGTTCCTCTAGCAAAGAGGATTGGATTAAGCGCCCGAATCTGGACGCGTCTTACCCGCAGATGCAGAAAATTACATCCATTGCTGGTATTTTTTTCGGCCCCATTGGACAAACCCGTCCAGATTCGGGCTTTAAATCCAATCCTCATTTGCAAGTGGACCATTTTCTTTTTTTTTGGGCATTGCCAAGTGGCTGTGACTGTTGCGCAAAATTGGGACGTCATCAAATCGTGGAGCATGACACGTGATAACAGAATCCTGGTGGTTTTTTTTTTTGGGAGGGGTACCTTGTCCGAGTCTTGGGTATGCTCCGGGCTTCCCCATATGCCTACAAGTAGGAGTAGTGGTAGGTAGGTAGTGTGAGGAAAAATTGAGAGAAGAGTATAGTTAAAAAAAAAAAAAAAAAAAAAGTCCTGGGACTAATCTTAGGAATACATGCAGTGGCGCTGAGGGCCTCTACTCGCCACATGCACAAAGACAAAACATATCGCGGCGTATTATTCCATGTTCTGCAGAAGATTCATTCTAGTTTTGCACATTTGGTGAGTAGTGCAGCCAAGCCCTGAGAATCACGTGCCGAGACCAACACGGCCTAGCTACGTGAGCAACCCATAACTGCTGAAACACAGACCTCAACTTGAATCCTGAGGATATATTCAGCCAGCTCGTGCTCCACTTCATACTCACTGCCTGGCTCGATAGTGATGGAGGGGTTGCACTCTAGTGCTGCGAGGACCCTCCAGATTGCCTGCATGGGCCATTTGAGCCATGCTAGGGGGATTCCTACGCACCCCCCCTTCCAAAAGAAAAAAGGACATATCACACACACACACACACACACACACACACAGACAAATTCACACACACACACCGCTTTTTTTGTTTTTTGTTTTTTTCCCCGTTCCGTCTGGGGTTTTGGCCCACAGGCCCCCCAAGCGCCGCCGCCGCTCCCCACACTGCCCACAGCCCCCCCAAGCACCGCCGTCGCTCCCCACACTGCCCAAAGGCCGCACCCACCCCGCCCACCCCCCTGCGCGAACGCGTCAAATGCGTTCACGCGCGTTCACTGCGTTCATACCTTGAACACAAAACCTGCGTTTAATGAACGCGTAGTAACATAGCTCCTGATCCTTCTATTCGGGTGATTTCGCCACCGGCAACTGACGCTGACGACCGGTATGTTCCCATGGACATGCTATCGTCGCCATCACGCGAAGGCAATGAAAGGGGGGGGGGGGTCATGTTGCTCGTTCGTCGGACGTCGACTTGCCAGTCGGAGAGGACACCGCAATATCTGGCTTGTCTATGTTGTGCGGTGCACAAGGAAAGAGAAAATACACGTACAGACTCAGGAAAAGACGTACTTCGGCATCCACCTCCACTTTCGAACGTCGATGTAGCGTAGATGAGTGCGAGGCTGTCTTCCATTAAACATG